CAGAGAGAAAGGACGAGATCTCTTCTTGTCCATTGCAGAGTGCAGGGCATGGAATAACAGATTTAAGTTAAAAGAAGCCAGATTTAGACTAGACACCAGGAAGAATTTCCTCACTGTCAAAGCAGTGCAACAATGGAATCTTTTTCCTGGGGAAGTTGCGAGCTGTCCTTCATTCAGGAAGTATCTGGACAGCCACCTGAGTGGGATGGTGTAACTTAGTGTCCTGCAATGGCAGGTGATTGGACCTGATGGCCTTCTGGCCCCTTCCAACTCTACCATTTTATGATTACTGTACTGACTGCCAATCCCTCTTTCTGAACAGTGAACAGAGTGTGTTTCTCGATTCATTGGGAAAGAAAGAGGCTTAAAATAGCCAATGCTCAAAGCATTTTGTTCTAGTTGCATTAGCACTACGGGAACAGAGCATATAACATGTGCATGCGCATCATGCTAATCAGGAATCCCATGCGCTGATACACAATACACAGAAACAAATACTCACTACGGCATCTTCGAATCTGCCGCAGTGTCAAAAGTGCTGTCGTGCAGTGCCTCAAACTCGATAAGGAAACTACGGTTGGAATCCGGAGAGCAGCCAGTGAAATGTTTACATTGGTTCTTTAAAAGGAGTCATTTATCCTTGAGCACTAACAATTTTTCAAGCTTGTCTCAGGTTCAGAAGCATGTTGCCATGGGGAAGGAGACCTTCTTGCCCACCCCTTGGCAGGCTGGGATGCCTTATGTGGTTCTGCGTTTCCTAGCCACGTTTCTGAGCTACAGAATTTTTTTTAAAGTCTTTTACAAGATGCAGGATGGAGCCTTCCTTCACCAGGAGGCAATCCTGGATTTTGGACAGATTCAGAGAACACTTTTTTCATCATTCAAATATGATGCTTTTTTCAGTAGTTTTGGACCCACGGAACCAGTTTTGTGAACGATTCGGGAAGTATCTGCTTTCTACGTGCTTGCTAAGAAGAATTTTCCATGACACTGTTGCAATTTAAATTTATGTCATAGCATTCATAAAACTAGGTCAGCTGTGCACTCTTAAAATAGTAAACTGGTGTTGACTTTGCTATGTCAAAAGGGGGCACAGAAATTAGCCTTTTAATGGACAGTTAAGGTGGTAACCTTATGCTCACCTAGACAGAAAGAGGACCAGCTGTTTATATACTTTAAAACACATAGAAAAACTTTAGCTGGAGCACTAAACTTTAAATCTCTTGATTAGACTCCATTAACTCCTCTTGGAACAGTTGCTATCATATTGGAGCCAGCTGGAGCCAGGGGTCAGACTAGATGGCCCATGAGAACCCTTCTGCCTGCTTCCATGTTTGTTTCTTTCTTTAAGCATAATAAAATATATTTGTTATGGTGAATGTCCAGCCTCTAGAAGAAGTTGACATTGCAACATGGCATTCAGATGGTGTTCCTGCCACAACTTTGTCTGATAATTGGAATTGTTAACATATTAAAAACATGTATGCATCACTGATCTACATATTTTCAAGTAATATAAAAGAAAGATTTAAAACATAAAGAATGGTGAGAGACAGACTGAAAAATCTAATCAGCTACTAAGAGCTTTATAACTGATGGAAACTGCAATCCAGCTTAGAGACAAGAGCCACTGTATCGAGTGTGACTTACCCCGCGGTATGAGTGGATGAGGTTGCGGTCTAACTAAGGACAGATAAGTTGAAAAAAGTGGTCATTGTTCTTTTCCTGAAGAAGCGCAATCCTTCCAGATCAATACTACCTGGTTCCTACTTTAAAAGAAGCACTGGCCTCTGATTTATGGTTGGTGTTTCGCAAGAAAGATCAGTTTAAAGAAAGTAAGAAAGTCTAAATGGTTAAATGACAATGAAAAGATACTGAAAATACCCTTTAATGATTAGCAATCTTGCTTTTATTGATTTAGGAGATAAACCCACCTGAAGCAAATCCCAGGTTATGCTCAATTTCAGAAATGTTCATCAGGTTTTTCGTTTTCATTTTTACATTTATACCCTACCTTCTTCCTCTTGCAATGAATGGGGGTTGCTCACCCGGCCCTCTTCCGCTCCATTTTACCCTTACAGGGAATTTAGACAGAAAGTCAATGGTCTGACTCAAGTCATGCAGGGAGAATAGCATGACCAAATGGGGACTAGAACCTGGATCTCCCAAGTCCAGCACTCTAACCACTAAGCCACACTGGCTGGGTGAATGCTATAAATACCTGACAACGTAGCTTTGCCTATCATACCAAAGGAGTGCTTAGCTTAGCACTTCTCTTGGCAAGCTCAAAAGCAAAACACAACAGAGAAGTGCAATTTTTATGTTCCATGACAAACTTCTGGTGGGCTTCAGTCGTCTCTTTATCCATTAATGCAGCACAAGGCGAGCAAGTGAGCAACCTGCCTGCCTGAGTCCTGTAGTTATCCATGGGGCGCCCACACACACTCTCTAACTGGGGCAACCACGATAAGATTGACTCCCACTGTGGCGGCACTCCTGGCTGGATCGTGGTAGAAATGAGGAGGTCCAACCCCAACCCTAAGCCAGGTCTCAAGTCATAGCTTTGCTGAAGTTTGTGAGATGGCCAGATAAAGACCTCCCAGATATTGACTGTTAAAATGGAATCCCAAGGAGAGTCTACAGTAATCCTTAGGTTAAAGTTGTACAAGATGAGCAACCACTCTGAGGAGCACTTTCCCCTCCATGACACGCCTGGTACCGGGGTGATAAACCCCTTTCAGCCCAATGGCTGAACTTTCTTTCAAAGAAGCGCTTGGGGGTAAAACCACTTAGAAAGTTTAGCTTCAAGCTCCCACTACTGGTAGCTTTCCAACTTTTCAGAATGGAGGAAATGCACAACAGCTGGGAAACCAATGAATAATTGCTGGTCAAGGAAACGGAAATATGGTCAATCTAGGGAGCGACAAAGGATTGGACGGCAACCTCAGGGGACTGGATCTGGGACCCAGACCTGAGATTCTGCCCCCTGCCCTACAGGCTTGTCACGGAATGCAGGCAACAAAAACGAGTCCTGTTGTGTGCTCCCAGAGTGGTATTTTTGGAAAGATGAAAAGGCCAAGACAAATTCATTCCATGTGTAAGTTGTCGAGACTCTTGAATGCTGTTTTAGGGACCCTCTGAAGAATATGATTTTAAAGATGCACCTTGTGATATCTCATTGCTATGTTTGTAAATGAACGCAAAATGATTTTATGCTGATTCTTTTCTTTGTTCATGACCCAGAGGCTTGTTCGGTTTGTTTTTAAAAATATTGCTCTTTAGCTGTGAGGCCTTTCTTCCCACAAGAGGTTGATTGCTACCCCTTGACTGCTCGGTGTACGTCATCTTAGCCAACAGAATACAGAGTAAATGTTGTCAAAGAAGATTGCATGTCTGGATGTGGGGCTGAATGATGTAGACGTCCTACGATCTTGAATTTTTGAGACCCCTCTGCAGATGTGCGTTCACAAGTATTTACCTGGATTTAGGAAACTTTCTGAAAAATAAGAAGAGGCTTGACTCTGACATTGCAAGCACTGCCGCCGACAGGACAAAGCCGACAGTGGATGATGGAAGGTCTATTCTTTGAGACTTTGAGGTGCTAGGACGGGGCTCCGCCATGTGGTCCAGCATGCTTATTTTAGTTCCTAATGGACTGTACTTCTTCCCTTGCTTATTGTGTATTTTAACAGTGAAGATGATCAACTTCTGTTCAAATGTTTGGCCTGAATGCAATGAAAATAACACTCCTACACTAACTATGCATATCATATGCAGTGTATTCCTTAATTCCTCAGTTCTATGGTGTTCACTATGAAAGATGTCACCTTTTGTCCACTGTGCCATTTGGAGGGTCTCCTTGTCTAGAACCGTGGTTTCCAGACCTGTGGATCAGTAGCAGCGGTCCAAGCAACTTTGCTTAAATGCTTTAGATGGGCAACACGAACAAACGAAGCTGCCCAATAGGGTGTCCTCTGCCTGGCAGTGGCTCTCTAAGGTCTCAGGAGAAGACTTTCCCATCACCTGCTTCTTGCTCCTCTTAACTGGAGAGGCCAGGGACTGAACCTTGGCCTTCTGCGTGAAAATCATGTACTCGACCCATGAGCCGAGGTCACCATCAGCTGCCCTGGTGTCCCTATTGAAACTATTGCCCAGTGGGAATCCAATATCAAAGAACCAATTCGTTCCTCTGCTATTACTGAAACCTACCTGGGCCCATTACAGGTAGGGGGTTGGACTGCAACATCTATCAGCAGGTATGAGCAAGGGAAGGACACTGCCCTATGTGGCTCCTTCCATTTTCCAGGACGGCATTTCTGCAGCCACATAAAGCCAGGCTATTTTAGGTGACCTGGCCCATGTTCTGGCTGGCCAGCTGCGGGCCACGTGAGCCTCGTGGATCATGGTTGCTTGAAGGACTTCAGCTTAGGAGCCACTGTTGTAGAGAATGGAGTCTTGCATGTGTCTCCCCACCCCATAACCCATCAATGCATCACACGACTGTATGCAAGAGAGGCTTCCAAATGCATTTCAACCTGACGGTGAATGAGTGCACCTATGCATTGTTATCTCTGTGCTGTGATTGTGCGTTCCTAACCTTATTGCTAAGCCGGTCATGCTGTGTCTCTAAGCTTTTCAGCAGAACTACATGGGTAAAATAAAGATCTCTCGGGGTGGGGGACAAAGCCATATCTATTGGGTTCCAGAAGGTAAGAAGTAACCTTTTAACCCAGCTCCTAGGCTGAGTTGAATGTCCTGGTACAGCTTTGTCACCGGTTTTCCTATTCTCGCGCCGTCTTGTGTACAGTACTGTGCATATCCCATTCTTAATCTTTGTGACAAGCCTATCGTAGCTTAACAGACATTTCTCTGATCCTCCGTATATGTATATAACCCTTCTCTCGTTGATCTTCTTTGCATGCTTCAGCGAGCCACGCAGTTGACGGTTCGTGCACATTAACGCCCGTCTAATTTCTTATTCTTGTCTCTGTTGTCACCAGGCCTCCTGAACCCGTTTACAGCACTGTGAACAAATTCTGTGATAAGCCACCTTCTCCTAGGCACTATTCCCCTGTCGAGTGTGACAAAGGGTTCCTCCTTTCAGCTCCCTATTCCCACTACCACCTAGGCCTGCTCCCTGACTCTGAGATCAACAGGTACTGCATGCGCTTCTCACTTCCTCATACTAAAATGCATGGCCGTCATTCCAGCGCATGGAAAGCAGGCACCCTCTTCCACCCAGACAGCCACGGTGCTGTCTCTGCAAAGGCCTCTCTCCTGATGGGTTCCCACCACACATTCGGAGCAACAGGGTTGGGTTTAGGGGCGTTGGATGCCGTGGAAATGCCTAGGAGCCGTTGGGCAGAAAGGAAGAGTCTGACGTATGACGCTCCTGTGTGCTGAGCGAGACCAGTGGCTTGCTGGTGCAGGCCACCCATGCTAAGTGGTCCTAAATGGAAGGAAGTGAGCAGGTGACATGAGATACGGGGGAACTGCTACCTGTTGGGGTTCTTTCTCTCGGTCAGCTCAGGTGCAGAAAAGCCAAACCAAAACAAAAGCCCAGTGTAATGGAAGGCTGGGGCATTCTGAAAGGCTGCGGCTGTGAAGGTACTTGTCAGCCCTTTCTTGACACTGCGCTTTGACGTCTAACCTTAAGACTTGTGTGTCTCCCAGTGGCAAAGAAGTAGCATAGAAAGACGAATACATGTAAATAAATTCAGCTTAGAGTTTGTTCATACCTTGCACATTCGGTGGATAGCTTGTCTTTTTTCTTCCAAGGATTCCATTCTCCTTCTCTCCATTTTATCTTCACAACAACCCTGTGAGGCAGCTCAGACTGAGCTTCGTGGCCGAGTGCAGACTCAAGGCCAGCTCTCCCAAGTGGCAGTCCAAAACTGGAACCACTGCACCACACATTTAAGAAATGTCTTTTCTCAAATAAGCCTGCCTGAATGCTAATATGAATACCAAGCCCCAAGTCATGGCCCTTCACAGTCAGAGGTAGACTTGACCGCCAGGTGAGCTTTCCCAGTCTTCATTTGCTTCGATGTGGACAGAAAAGACAGCTTTAGTTCAATAGGCTTTTGGCTCCTTCTGTTGATATGCTTCTGTTTAATTTCTCGCTGCATTCTTGCGCTGTATTTATTGCTTTATGGTAGCATTTTTTTCTGGAGTTTAAATGTTGTAAGCCCCTCTTAGTTATTACACAGAAGAAGCATGTTAAAAAGCCAGTACATTGAAAAGGAGTGTGTGGATTCTTGCTAGAAAACCCTATTCACAAAGAATTGAAATTGATATAGGATGGCTATTTGAAACTTACATTTTCAGAGGGGAGTGTATTGTAGAGTAGCAAAAGCACGAGGACATCAGTTCCAAAACTGCTGATGGGCCTCCAGGTATAAGCTGGCTGGCAATGGTAAGACACATATGCATTTCCTATACTGCGAGGATGGGAAGCTATGGAAGTCGAGGGTTGTCAGACCTCAATTCCCACCATCCCCAGTTGCAGCTGGTTGGAGTTGTAGCCCAAACGACTGTGGGGCAAAAGTTCCCCCATCCATTCATATGGCAGCTCCTAAGGATCTTCCCATACTGGAAAGGGAGAACCCAAGAATGCAGTCTAGGCCTAAAATGCAACCCCCCAGGCTGCTTTGGTTTTCTTGCCCCTTGGCAGTTTTTAGCAATGTCCTAAAAAGGGCAAAGCCAAGAACAGCATCAGGGGAATCTCCCTCAAGACAGCTCTGAGGATCAGGCTTTGAAAATGCCCTGGGATTTCCGCAGCTGCACAGAACAGATTTGATTCATTCCCTGTAAGGACAATACATTTCCTGTGCCCACAATGAAATATTTGCTTCCACAGCGTGCTAAGAGGACAAAAACGGAAGGGGTGCAGCAGAGCCATCCTGAAAAGCGTGCCAGGGAAAGCCAGCCTCTTGGGGAGACGCGTATCATCTCAGCACGGCAGGAGAGAATTTAGCTTTAATTAAAGGATTACGATTCAGCAATGGCACAGGCATGGGCTGTGCTAATCCATTGTATCAAACCATTTCAAACCACTTCTTGGGGACTGTGCTGCCCTTACAGATTTTGTGTTGAGATGCCTATCGCCAGCTTAAAATATAAAAAGGGTTTTTGGAGTATGCAGGGCTTGCTTCTTAAGTCTTTTTGGGTGCTGTCACATGGCTGCTTCCTCCATCAACAGTACCCACCAATTGATGGAAAGGAAGTGCACGGAAGACACACCAAAAAGGTGCCCAGTGCTATTGGCTTTCCTCCAGCTCCACTAAGATTGTGCATGGCTTTTGTACCTGTGGCAAAATTGGTGTTTCTTGTGGTGATCCGACAGTGCATTTGAAAGCGGGGCAAAGGCGGGATGTGTGCATGTCCTGGTTGCTCACACTGGTGAGCAAACTTGCCCTCGAAGATTTCGGGAAGAGTATCCCACATGGCCGCTTTGTGAGATGGCTGGCTGTTTTTCAGGTTCAGGCTCCATCTGGGCTCTCATCCTGACCCTGTGCAGTCTGACATGTAACCTCCACCATCTCTTTGAAGAAAACAAGCAGTCCTTGGCGTATTCATGTACCACATTTAAAGGTGCATTCATGTACCACATTTAAAGGCCATTACTGTGATTATTCTTCTGCATGTGAACATATACTAGAAAAACACAGTTGTCTTTAAATCCATTATTGCCAATTTGGGGTGCAGGTGAAATGGCAGGGGCCACATGAGGCTTTTCTGCCCATGCGCAAACCTTGTTCTGTCCATTGCAAGATAAACTAAATGCAAATGTAAATATATTCCTTGCAGCAGTTTCTCTTTCTCCATTTGGCCCAATTTTTTCCCCAGACTTGCAGGACACGGGGAAAGTTGGAAGGTGAAGGTACTGTAGGAGCAAGTAATATGTCTAGTTTCACTTCTCGCCCTCCCTCAGAGTTGGGATCTGAAAGATCCTGTGGAGGGAGCTAACTTCTGAGGAACGATGACTTTAACAATTCACAAAGCAAGATGTTAACAAGGCATCGCCTAACCTGCAAAATCACTGGGACAAAATAGGTATAGCAATTTTCTAGGTACTCAAAATTAGGGTCTGCTACTAGGCGGCAGTTCTATGCAACTGCTACCAGGCCTCCGTGACCCTTAATACTGATTATATTCTAGCTGCTTGTGACCCAGATGAAGGCCCAAAGTTTTCTGATGTATAACAAATCCCTGAACAAAGACCTAATATGTGTTTGAAATTTAAGTTTCAGACTGTCTGCAGCGACTGGAGAACCCCAGCCTGCCCTCCACTTCTGAATGCACATACAATGCATTAAGGAACATGCTTCTGTTTATTGTGCTATTTTCTTGGCTTGGCTGGGTTTTGTGAAAACAAAATGCCCCTGAGCTTTCAGGTGAGGGTGCCAGCTGCTGAATTAAAGAGGTGCTGGCATCTTTAAAAGCCATTTGTTAATGAGAACTCTAGTGAGCATCTCGTTCGTCCACAGAGGAGTCCCTCTAAGCCTCCTTGGGCTACCTCTAGTGCTTGGCCAGGTCTTCCAAAGAGCATTAAGCAGAGATGAAGTCTGCAAATGATGTTATTTTATGTGATATTTATTTTTATTTATTTTATTTAAAACATGTCCATGCCGCCCCATTCGCCGAAGCCTCGGGGTGGCTCACAACATAAATTAAAATATAGTACATTAAAAATATAAAACAAATTAACAATATAAAATAAGTCGCCCTGGCCAATACTGTTGTAATCTACTTAGAGACTCTTCAAACTAGTTATAGCAGAATATAAGTTGAAATAATAATAATAATAATAATAATAATAATAATAATAATAATAATAGCTCACTGAGCTCCAGTTACACAACCAGCAACCTTAGAAACCCAGAAACAGAGCAAACCAGAAGGGGCCTCCCGGCCCATCTAGTCTGACCCCCGGCTCCAGCCAGCTCCACTCACGACATGCCCACCATGTGCAGAACCTTCTTCTGCAGCCCCCCAAAGGTCAGTAGCAGCTGGCTCAGAAGAGAGATGCTGCTCGCACAGCTGTCGTGAGGGACATTTTCCTGGTGGCCTCCCTGCGACTGACCTCCTTTGACGTGAGGAGCGGCCGCCATTTGAGTGGCTGCTCCAGCGTGCAAATGGGAACTAGGTCTCAGTTCCTAGGAAGTGCCGCACAAAAGTTGGGCATGCTCACCAGGAACATGGGCTGCGGCCCTCTGGAAAGCAGACTGGAGTCCAGGGAACCAGGCCCAGGCATCTGATGGATTCCCAATCCACGACAGATTCCTCACGCATCGTAGTGCGTAGAGGTACTCCTAGGGTACTCCTATCACCACTCCTATGTTGCTGGGCTTGCAGCATGATACAAACTTCCCTCGTGCTACTGGCGAGCAGTACCAGTACTCCTGGGGTCCTGCGTGGAAGGTGTCCTCTGCTTGAGGGGCTCACCTTTCCAAATCCAATTTAAAGCTAAAAGCCCATAAGGACTGCTGCCAGTCACCAGTTCGTACCTGGTCAGCAGGCACACAGGTCACCGGGTCACAGTCCTCACTATGGTGAGATTTGCTTCCTTTCCATGCAAATTATAATAATGATTGCTACATTTGCATCTAAGCATACAAATCAGCACATGCGAACTTTATGCCAAGGTTTGCCCTCTCTTGCCCTCATTTTCACTAATGGATTTCCTTCCTTGAGGTGTTCCTTTCAGGGGCTTCTTAAGTGGTGCTGTGAGAGCTGCTATTAGAATTTCCCACAATGCTTCTGATATAGTGCTATGCTGGGGCATTGTGGGGAATTCTCTGGGTCATCCCCAAACTCAACCCCTGGGCATTATGTGTGTGGGAGAGATGTGTGTGTGTGGTGGCCCACCCTGTGGCATGGAAGCCCTAGGTAGCCACCTGCCTATGCCACTCGCCACCACCTGACCTTGGGTCTTCTGCATGCAGGAATGTCTGTAGAACTGGCTGCAACACCCCCTCATTCTGTGCCCTTCCATATGCAATGAGACGATCAAATTGCACTTTCCGCAACACAGAACAGGTCAATGCAGGTTTCTGTTTCTTTAACCCTACGGATGAAACCAGGTATCTGGGTCTAAGCATGGAGACCCTCCTCCAAAAGGGGAGCTATTTTCTAACTTGAGTGGGATGGTGCAGATTGGTGTCCAGCAACTGCAGGGGGTTGGACCTGATAGCCTTCATGGCCCCTTTCAACTCTGCTATTTTGTGATTCTATGAACCTCTTAGCTGGGTCTCCAAGAAATCCTATAGCCATCTGTGTGCTGTTTAGCCACCATGGAATTGTACTACCCTGCTCTGTTTACTCAGCAGGAAGTCTCCCCAAATCAAGCTTTGTTGGAAGGCATCCTTAATCACCACTGTCATTGCTATTACTACTTCCATTTCTAGAAGTTATTAAACTTATTCCCCGCTAAAGAAATTAAGCGGGAGAAAACATAAACACATATGTGAACGTCAATGTATTACAAATATTAGATAACAATATAATCTAAGGTAATACAAACAGTATACCAACTCACTATCTAATATATGAATACATACTAAAAATGTAACTGTTCTACTGCTTGATATATAGGCAGATTCCATATATTGGGGCTCTAGGCTAAGAACAGGCATTTGTAGAATCATACAGACTCTTGTGATAGTTTCCTAAACTCCGCAGACTAGCTTCCCAAGCCTTTTCTGAAGAATGTTGCTCTTCGTTGCCTTTATTTAATAAGCTTATAAGTCCCAGAAGGGGCTCTGGCAAAACCAATTTTGTCTGTGTACATTTGAGCCTCTTCTTCTTTAGCTGCGTGCCAAGATGAAATTACAACCCTATCTTACGTTTGTGATGTGATTCTGTTATTGAATATGGTATCTAATTTGATACAAAACGGAGTTCCATTCTCATTTTCTTCATTTTTATTTCTGTGTTCCTTTGCACCCCAAAGCCTCTTTTATTCTTTCATCCTTTCTTTCTTTCTTCTTATGTTTTTAGATTGCTCTGATTTTGCATGTTTTCGATCTGCATGTATCTTTTAGTCAGTGAACAGTGCAATCTTATTCATGCCTCAAAAGTAAGTCTCATTTAGATCACTGGGACTTACTTCCAGGTAAGTGGTTGTAAGTTTGCACTGCAATTTACTTTTTCTCACCTCATAATGAAGCAGAAGGAGCCTTTTGGTATTCAAATACTATTTCTTCCAAAGATCCTGAAACAAGGGTGCTTGTTTGTTAGTTGATGCAAAGGGTCCAGAAGGAGAGAGAGGAGTGTGTCTGAACGGGGTGTCTCTAAAACCCATGCCCACTAGCTCTGAAATTATTTCCAGTGGTGCCTTGAATGTCCACTCCATGAGCTAACTGCAGCTTCCAGCTGCAAAACCCAGAATACTACCTGATATGTCCTGCTCCATTGGAGTAGCAGAGAAGAAAAGTATTCCCAGGCTCCAACAATATACAAATGTGAAGTTCACAAAAGGGATATTTGTGTCACTCACTGACACAGGTAGCAACGTGCAAAGAATCTGTTAGAAGGGCATAAATCTGATGGATTTTCTCGACTGCCCTGCAGCTTCTCCTCTGCCAACCTTGTGCTGGAGCTGACGCCATCTGAGTTGAGGCACCATGCCGGCTGCTGTTCTTTAAAACGTATCATGATTTACAGTTTTAAAAGCCAGGGGATTGAGTGCAAAATTCAGGCTTCCATGCTGCAGTTTGCACCCATTGCAGAGGAAAAGCCCAACTTTTGCACAAATCTGGAATGAACCATCACAAAATCCAAGATGGCCAAAGTGGTTTGTGTGCATAAGCAGTGAGAAAAGAATGCTTCCACCCTTCTCGTGTTAAATGCTACAACAAGAACAACAAGCAGAACTAGTTGGCCCCAGTTGGCACACATTGCGCAAGAAACTGAGCAGTTTTGTGGAAGCTTCCTCCCTCTGACTGAGACTGTTTTGGCCATCAAGTCAGGAATGTGTCAAAAGTACGTCAAGCTCAAACAGAATGAGATTTCTGGTGTCATGCATTCCTAAATCCTCATTGCAGGCAGAAATATAGATCTCTTTGGGCTGCTTGCTTGTTCTAACTGGTTGGCATGATCTGTGTTGCTCGCATGTGTCTGAATTCGAGCATGAATTCCTAGCAAGTGTCTTAATCTTAATGAGGGATGGACAAATCAGCCAATTCCAATTTCTCTCCATTTACCATTTTGCCATTCTCAAGTTTGATCCATCTCAATTTCTCCATTCTTGTGTTCAGCTCATCCTGAACTTTGAGAATGTTGTAATAAGGTTTGCATTAAATATTATTTATTTGTTTTGTATACTGTGCATAAGCCCAAAACAGCTTATATGGACATTTCTGAACACTTCTATGCATGCATTTTAATTCATTCTTGCCCAATAGCAACAATTTTGGAAGAGTTTTTTCCCAGTGTGTGTCTTTTTAAATGGAGAAATTCATTGCAGAACTGTGAAATTTGTAAAAGTGCACATTTTGAAGTATAACTGAGTTTCAGTTTGAATAGTGTTTCAAAGGTACAAAATCAGGTAAGTTCTTATCAAAATTAAGGTGCTGGTGATGACCCATAAAGCCCTAAACGGCTTAGGACCTGGATATCTGAAGGAGCATCTCCTTCCCCATGTGCCTACCCACCCCTTAACATCTGGGGTAGAGGTCCTTCTTTGGGAGCCCTCCTTGTAGGAGGGTGGCTACCCAGAGAAGGGCCTTCTCTGCAGTGGCACCCTGATTGTGGAATTCACTCCCCAGAGAGGTTCGCCTGGTGCTGACACCTTATTCCTTTCGGCACCAGGCCAAAACCTTTTTATTTTCCCATTAATTTAAGGTTTGAGTGTGATTTTAATGTAGGGTTTTATTGTATAGAATATCAACTTGGATGCTGTTTTACTGTAAGACTGTCCCAAGACCTTGTTAGTGGACAGTATATAAATAAGTAAATAAATAAAATGCAAAGTGACTGTATTTCTCCTGCATCCTTAAATTCAAGAGAATGAATTAAACTTCTACCCCTGTTTGCATCTTTTAAAAAAATGAGATACTTTTTAGGCTGCCTCGTTTAGTAGCCCTGCACTATACATTCCCAAGTGGGAACAGTCCAAAAGGTGCTTCTTTTCAAAGCCTCATCAAGATTCCAGGCAGAGATTGCTGCTTTCCCCAGAAGAGTCATGGGAAGGAACTGCATCAGAGTATCTGTGTTAACTGCCAGTTTGGTCTGTTGGCCTACTTTACATATTCTGTTCCATTCAATTAACTTGTCAAAGTCTTCTGTACTAATGGGGGAAAAGGGAGACCAGCCATTTTCATTTCCATCACAGTTGTCTGTCTGTGTTGGTGTGTTTCTAAAATATTTTGTTTACTCACCATATCCCAGTTGCCTCAGTCAAGCAGTAAGGAGGCAGTCTCTTCCTCCAAAGGTTGCTCATTTATTTCAATAGGATAAGCAGCTCCATCAGCTTATCCCTCCATCAAACTGAATGTGCTAATCTGGGCAATTTGCATAGGGACCCCCCCAGAGAGACTCTGGGACTGGCCCATTATTTCAACATCAAGGAATTCCTGCAAGAACAAAGAGATCTCAGGCATGGATACTGAATAGACAACTCTATTAATTTTGATGTTTCTTATTTCTCATGATATCCAGTTTTTGCATCAGTTCATTTCTCTTTTTTTCCCATCTGAGCAAACAATTGTAAAGATTTTCATGTTCATTTTCCTAAGCTGTACAATGCACAGGCATACTGTACATGCATTTTATACCCATTTTACAGTTTTGCATGCAATTTTGCCTAATATCTGCAAAATCTACAAGAATTAGTTTAATGCATTTTGTTCATTGTTTTCATGAAATACAGACATTTGCATGCACATTTTCATGGAAAACTGTACTGCACAACTTGGAAAGTGCAAATGTTGCGCTATAACTGCGTTTCATTTCATGTATTGGTTGGGTTTCAGATGTACAAATTAGGTAAGTTTGCATTACAAAGAGAATGGAATGAACTTGTCCTCCATCACTACATTTTGCAAAAATATACTCCCATGGTGCAGTCTTGCAGCTAAGCCTGTGCTCATCACTACATTGATGGTCAGTGAATTTCTGTGTCATCGGTTCATCTCACAGCCTGGCCAGACTGTCTCCATGTCAGAGCTGTGAAGTAGCCAGCCTATTTTGCAAGACTGGCTACTTCAGGCAACATGCTGTCATCTGAAAATGTGGAGGTGAAGCATTGCCAGTGCGAAACAGATTGTTCTTGCACCTAGAGAACAAGCCCTGCACTACAACCAAGGAATATAACTTCTGCACACAAATCATAGCATGAATCGTAGAAAAGGAGACACCTAGGATTGCCTCGTGATGATTCAAATAAACGTTGGACCGGTTTAGCCCATATGGACAGTATAGCACATGGGAAAAACATGAGCATGAATCAGATCTTGTTTTCTAAATGAATTACTGCAGCAGTTCCTCCTACCTGAGACTCAAACTGCTGCTGTTAGAAGCAGAGGAAGCTGACCTACCAGATCAAACTCATTATCTCACAGTTATTCTAACGCAATATTATCTCCTCCAGCTGACAAAGCTCACCTGCGTTTCAAGCAGAGGTCTTTCCTGCCACCTTTCCCATTCCTTGTTACCTGATCCTTATACCTGTAGTTTCTCAGGTGTAAATCTATGGACTTCCTGCATAAAAATCTTGTACTCTACTTGGCGCTATAGTCCATCCCCAAAATGTCTAGTGTAAAGAGTGATTTGTCCCTTCTGCTGTGGTGAATCGCCTCAGATACACAGATCTACCTGTGTGCACATTTATCTGACCTGTGTGTGTAATATTCACTTGGATTCCAGCTCTGTGTGATGTCTTTGATCGTACTGTAGCTCTAAATACAGTAAGGTCAAGAGGATCCATGAGAAAAAGATGGTGCTTGTTTTACTAACTCTTCTTTCTTTCTCTCTTTCTTTCTCTCTTTCTTTCTCTCTTTCTCTCTCTCTCTCTCTCTCTCTCTCTTTCTTTCTTTCTTTCTTGGTTTGTTTCCTGTCCATACAGTCATTCGCAGCACAGTACAGTCAAAAGGCCACCCACAGTAAGCATACAGCGGAGTATTTCTATAGAAGGGTAAGAAGAACCAAAGTGAATAGTTTTGCTTGGATCTCAGCTGCTTTACATTGTTTAGCATTGTGTTTATTCATAAGCAATATTTTGAGTATGTGTGAATGCCGGAAGCTGAATATTATAGCATCCTCTGTACAGCATCCTTTAATTTCTTCCATTAAATAGCTCAAAATAGACTATGTATGGTTCTCTTGGCAGGCTGTTATGGTTCTTTATTTATTTATTTCCCCCATTACCAAATCAACTTACAGGTGGAGCTCTGCTCACAGGCAGGTGTGACTTCCACCATGTACTGAGCAATTTCCACATTTGTGTAGGGATCACACAAAAGAGACTTCATGAAAAGCTTCGTTCTCTCCGATATTTCAGGAGGCCTATAAAATAGGGTAGGAAAAGTCAATTCAGAGTGAAAGCAGAAAGCATTATTCTCACTCCAAATTGGCTTTGTGATATCATGATAGAGTCAGCTTCTGACTGGCTGTGTGGCAACACAACTAGATGCAGATTACATAATTTTTGATAGACAGCAAGAAGACAAGGGTTCTAAAGTAGCTGTTAAGAGATAGACAAAACGAGAACCCTTTTTGAACTCAAAATATTTACCCATGAAATACCCATTCCATACTTTGCCCAAGGAACTCCAAGATTTCTTTCATGGCCAAGCTTTTTGTTTTTGTTTTAATACGCCAGGATGCACATTTTTGTTATTCAAGTCTCCTCAAATCTAAGCCAAGGCTGTATGAATCAGATCTTAATTTAAAATAAGGCTTTCTGTCATCCCCATATCCAAACTGAATTCTTATTTTCCCCGCAGAGTTATTGTATATAAAAAAGGTTCTTCTCTGGAAAAAGGCCGGAAGACACCAACATGTGTTATGCCCCCACTAAGCAAAGCAAATTCTCCTCTGACTTCTACGCACGGTGGATGACAATGTATTTTATTGCTATGTGGTCTGCAGGGAGTTACTCAGCTTTTTTGCTTTTCTTTTTGGGGCCCAATCCCTTGGAGAGTTCTCCAGTGCATCGCCCATGACGATATCTGATGAAGTGCCTATTTGTTTCAATGGGCTACATTCAGGGGAACCTACAGCATTCATCCCTTTGCAATGGCAATTTTAATTCCTTTCCTCTCTGTTAGTCTTGTTTCCCCACATGCCACTCCAAAAAGCATTATCTGCACAACATCAGATGCTATAAAATGCTTCCAAAGAGACTCAGCTCAGTCCTTCATTCCTCTAGAATACCTTCAATCTGGTGATGAATAAAAACAGAGTAAAATGAAATGAGAAAGGCATAAAAATTTTTAACTGCAGAAAGGCAAGAATCCACCATTTGGGAGGTTGTCTGTTCAGTAGCTAAACTATCAGCTCCACCTACTGAAGGTATAGAGAAATGTGCTTTAAGCAACCAGTTCTGTTCAGAGAAATGTCTGCATACGAAGCAGAATTGAGTATTACAGTGTCAAGGTATCAAGAGTTGATCATTACCACTTCGAGTAGTTGGTTAGGGATTCTTTTTTAAAAGTTTTACTTTACATAACAGTTCCACATGAACATTAGCATAGTAGGGAGAACAAGGGTAACAGAAATGCCTAACAGATATGCCCGTTTTCTGCTTGAAAGAGCCATGTCCTTCCTCTTCATTTAGCATAGTGCAGTAATATTAAACTTGCTTTCTTTACTTGATGACTGAATTGATCTTGCCCATTCAACTGTTAGGATTCAACCTCTTCATTCCAACCTCATTTTTTTTTAATTTATTTTACTTTATTGACAATCCTACAAAATCACAAGTTTAAATTGTTTACATTATAATACAGTCCAATATTCATAGAAGCATAGCAAGTCAGAAGGGGCCTCCCGGGCCATCTAGTCCGACCCCTGGCTCCAGCTAGCTTTGCTCATGGCATGCCCACCATGTGCATGTCCAGCCTATCCTTGAACACCCTCACCGATGGGGCCTCAACCAGCTCCCATGGAAGCCCATTCCACACCCTCGGGGTCCTGACTGTCAGGAAGTGCTTCCTGGCATCCACCCTAAATCTCGGTTCCCTGAGCTTTGCTCCACTGGAACGTGTCCTGCCCTCCACCACAGGGGGAAAAGGTCATGACCCACCTCCGCATGGCACCCCCTCACATCCTTTTATACACACAATAGCTTCCAAAGCTTAAGCTGACCAGCTTTCCATCCAGTTTCCCATTTGGTCTTCTGTATTGTTTGAGTCCCTATAACAGAAAGTGAATGCCATCTTTGCAAAAACTTATCTTGTTTTATTTCTCCTCTATACACTCTAATCCAATTAGTCAATTTCTCCATCTGTGCAACCATCCATATTCTGTTCAGAAACCTTTGCAAGGAGGCATTCCAACCTCATTTGATTCCATGTATGGAGCAGATGATGGAGTGCTTCTCACATACCATCTGCTCTGCTGAAATCAGCAGAAGTGTAGTATAGGTGTTCGTCCTGGTGGTCCCCCAGGACAGGCAGAAATTCATGTGGATTGAATTCATGTCAATCCACACCCACAGTTTTGATCCAATCCAGGAGCAGGTCTTCTGTAAAGCTGGTGGGTTTCCATTGCCCATTCAAGCAGAAGTCACTCCAACATACTCGGTATCACAGCAGGGGGCAATAAGAGCATCTATTTTATTTTATTTCTTTCTTTATTTATTAAAACATTTTATGCCGCCCCATTCGCTGAAGTCTTTATCCCAGGAAAGGGGGGATTCTGAGCTTATTTGTTTATTTAAAACATTTCTATGCCACCCAGCTGTGCCACAGCACCTCTGGGTGGCTCACAACACAAGATAAAAACACAATAAAGCATAATAAAAACCGTAACATATTACACATTAAAAAACAATGATAAAATACAGTGAAACATTCAAAACAAAGGTCTATGGCAATTAGTTATTTCAATGTTTTTTTAAAAGGAAGGTCTTTGCCTGGTGCCAAAAAGAAAGTAAGGAAGGCACCAGGCGGATCTCCTTGGGGAGCACATTCCAGGTGTGGGGGGCAGCTGCAGAAAAGGCCCTGCTCCTCGCGGCCATCCTGCTCACCTCCTGAAGGAATGGCTCGCACAGGAGGGCTCCCACCATAGATCTCAGAGGCCAGGAAGGCACACATGGGTGCAGGCGTTTCCTATGCTTATGGCGTAGTCCCTACTGGTCAAAAAGTTCCAGCATGTTGACCCTTTGAAACTTGGCTCATCTGCGCCACTTAAAATATCAAGGCCTCAATCCATATGGCCAATGGATCAAAGGCTGGCTTTGTAGCAAGGAGGGCACACCTCTGGCCCATGGGCAAGAGCCGCTCCCTGGGCTCTCCACACCTAGCCATGGCCGCATCTCTCGTGCCCTGCTGCTGCCCTGCACCAATTTGGTTCTTCAAAAGCCTCTGTGGTGTTTCATGGGGGCTTTCCAAGTCTGTCTTCCATGCAGAGGGGCAAAGCACCACCTGAAACGCAGCCCCTGCACAGCATTTAGGCTTTAAAATGGGGATATTTTAAAAAAATCCTGATAGCTATGTTGGGGATATAGGAGGGTGGTGTGGAGGGAAGCGTTTCCTTACTTCATGGTGAACCTCCTCACAGAAGGCCTGCCAGAAATTAAACTAAAAATTCTTTCAGGAGTGCTTTTGCCCATATAGTCTGTCTCGCTCACTAGGGTCTTCTGTGGGTAATCTTCAAAAGTTTGCTTCTGTAAGGTTAATGTCAACTACCCAGAGGACATGGTTGCTCCTAAATTATGGCCTGGGCTGCCTCAAGAGATGCATCAGATGTTCCAGCCTGCTTCCTTCAAGAGGGAGTTAAAGCCATATCTCTCCTGACAGGCCTTCCCAGTTAATGCCCAGATTAGTTTTTATTAAATATGCTTGTTTGTAGTAAACATTTTAATTATTGTTGGTTTTAATCTCCTGTAACCCCCCCCCCCCCCAGAGCCTATGGGAACAGGGCAGTATATACAAACCAAGATAAATAAAATAGACATTTTCATTTGTGCATTTCTCTCCTCCCTCTCTTTCCAAAAATGGAAAGACAGAGGAACAGAGAGAAGGATGGAGGAGAACAACAGAGGGAGAAGGGGAAGAGAAGTGTGAATGAGCGTGCATAGACTCTGCTTTCTGCTTGCTCACCCAATGCTCATGTACCCTACATAAGAGGAGAAAGCACTGCAGCGACTTTGTACTTTTTAAAGAAGGTCCCCTCAATTTCAACGTGATGGAATTATCAGGAAAATATTTAATATTCAAATAGTAGGTGTAATAGTATTCAGATAATCTTGAGCGTGTCAACGAAAAAAGCAAGTGTCCCATTGGTCAAAATGATACTGTTATGAAACAAAATATAAAGAACAGCTTAACAGGATATGTTCCATCCAGGGTGCTTAGAGGGGTAAGCTGCATTCTTTTGTCTCGACAGAGAACCTCGAAAAGTTGTTCTGCACAAGGGCTCGACAGGGCTTGGTTTCAACATCGTAGGAGGAGAAGATGGTGAAGGCATTTTTGTCTCCTTCATCCTAGCGGGTGGACCAGCTGACCTCAGTGGGGAGCTGCAGAGAGGAGATCAAATTTTATCTGTAAGTAATTCTTACACACCCACCCACGTATCACAATCTTTTGTTCCTTCTTTAGATAATCTTACAGCAGTGTCACAACCTTGACTTGTCTTTTCTGGGTTCTTCATTGCTGGCTTTCAGTTTTGGTCACCCGTCAAGCTCATACGACCCAAGAGGAATTTTATGTTGTAGTTGTCCAGATTGTGACCTCAAATGGGCCATGGTTAGCTGCCTTGAGTGAGATGGAGGAAGGGCTGTAAGTGTCAAAGCAAATAATTAGGGGGTAGCGGGAGTGTCAGCAACCCCCTCATGGGATTTCCTGAAAGACAGTCTTTATTAATCAGTGTCAATGCCTGTTACTTCAATGGGCTGAATTACCGAAACTGCCTCCTTGGGTCACAGAAGTGGGAAGTTTCAGGAGTCATGGACCACCCATTCCAACAGACAGGGATTGTTCTGAAAACAGAGGATGTCTCCATGGGACTTGCCCAGAGAGACCTCTTGTAATCCTGCCCTTCAGGCAAGTCAAAACTATTGGAGAGTCACAGAGACTCTTCTCTGATCCTATTCAGTCCGGCCTGATGCTTAATCCCTGGCTTACTTCTCCATGAAGTGGGTGGGGAGGTGGGTCCTGGTTTTCCACACTGAAAAGCACCCAGACCTACTTGGTGGGAGAAGGGCATTAGAATTGGGAACGGTACCCATTTGGACGGAAGGCAGCATCTGTGCCGTGGCTTTCTGCAGTGGGCGTCATGCCACACTCGGGCAAGTAAAGACCAAGTCTGCCATCTACTGTGTACGATGATTTTGGCAGGCAGACCTGCTTTCAGATAGGCTACACTCTGGTTTGCTGTCTCTGTGTTTGTACTGACTTGGACAGCCGCTCCGCAAGCCATTTTCAAATTTGCAAGGGCTTATAAAAGGGATTCTCAACCTCCGGCCACATTTAGTGCATTTCATACCTGTGATATTAACAGAATTGCTCAGCATTTGGACACTGATAGCGTGGAATTAAGAACAGATGCTTCTGTGTTTAAGAATCCTCACAGTTACAAGAGCACATTTCCTGGGTGATCTTTGTCTCCAAAGCCAGTTTTGCCATTTTCATATCTCCCTCTGATGTGGGAATGGAAGGGAGGCAAGGCAAGGCAAGGCAAGGCCCAGGAGCTGGTTTCATGCTCACTAGCTGGAACTGTCAAAGTTAGATTTCACCTTCCTGCACTCGATGCTCCCAAGTGCATCCCACAAAAAGGTCAAACGAGATGTGCTATTTATTTTGTGCTCCCATTCACTAGTAACTTGGAAAGAAAGGGAATTGTGTGAGAAATGTAAGGGTCAATCCAGACCATTAGGGGGTAGTGGGATAGTCCTCTCTGTCAGGAACTCTCATGAGAGGGTTGGGACCCCTGCACACCAGACTCCTTGGGATGTCGGTCCCCTTCCTCTGCCTACTCTACCCTTCAAGGCACAGGCAGGCATTTTTCTTGCCAGGCTTGGCAAACGTGGCGCCCTCCAGATTTGCGGGTGTCACTAGGGATGTGCAGGGACTCCGTCTGGGAGTGGGGATCCATGGCATTCCCTGGGTGCAGCTGCCTGGATTCTGGCCTGCGTTGGAGGGTTCCCAGTGTGCATTCCCAGGGCCCTCAGTGGGAACCAAGCCAGCTGCCCTGGGCAGGGAAGAAGGGTGCCCGCCCGGAAGGGTGCCTGGGGTGGCCCCTTGCAGCGCCCCCCTTCTGTGCCATGCAGCTGCTCTCTGGGGGCCACACCTGATGGGGAGGGTTGCCAGTGGCACAACAAGGGCTCCACAAGCATTTGTGGGCTTCCCCTTCGCTCAGTTGGCTTTGCAAGTCTGGGCCAGGCACAAGAAGAAGTCCAGAGATGCCAGAGGGGTGGATTCGGAAGGGGTTCATCCAACCCCCAGCTACAACTCCCATCATCTTTGACCATTGGTCAAGCTGGCTGGGGCTGCTAGGACTTGTAATCCAAAATATCTGGAATGCACCAAGTTGAGGAGGAATATGATTCTTTTTCTCCCCTCCCTCCCTTTATCACATTTCTGCGCTATCCAGTAGCCAAAGTTTTCTGGGCAGTTTGCAGCACAACGTATAATGGATGCATACAAAAGATGCGATTCAGCCAGGAGCCTGCGTGGTGGGACGGGAGCCTCATCACGCTGCAGCGCCCCGCCTGGCAGAACCGCAGTTGCAGTCTCTGCTCCATAGACATAGTCCCTGTGCGTGTGGCTTCCTGTTTCCTGCTCACCTGCTTGCGCTTGTGTTTCCAGGAAGCAGCGTATAAGTCCCATCGCGCTGGGCCACATGGGCTTCCCCCCTGCCTCTGCATCCACAGGGGCTCATGGAGCAGCTGGAAGGGATGCGCTAGCAAAGGCTATTAAGGGTCCAGGCTGGACCAGAAGTGGCCAGGACCACGGAGAGCTCCTTGACCACCAACACCCTTCTCTTTCTTACCCACGCTTGAGTGGCCAGCGCAGCCTTCCTATGTTTGAGCTCCTTTGTTTGTCAGTCAGCCATAATGACAAGGTAGCTGCAGGTTCAACAGCAGAAGAAAAGTTTGAAAGATTAGCAGAAAGCGCCTTAAATGATGAAGGGAGTTTGCTAGGCCACCCCTCCCAGCTGCCTGGCTTCAGAGGGTGAGGAACCCCCCCCCTTGAGCTCTGGAGACCCCAGTGATCCTGACTTGGGGCTGGGAATGTCCTGAGGCCTCCTCAGCATGCAGTTGTGCTAGGCAGGCTAGAGAGGGTTTGGGCTGCTCAGGAACAGCATTCCTCATCGATATAAGCTTGCACGGAGGGGATGGGAGTTGTCTCCACTCAGGGCGAGAGCAGCCCATGCCACCCCTCCAGAGCCCACCAGGGGCCCCAGCACTTCCTGCCGCCATCTTAATATACCACCGAAACCTCACAGTCCAGCAGTAGCAAACAAGCAAACCCCCACAGCACTCGTGTGTGCACACAAACATACACAAGCAGAAATGTCCCTTTTAAGGCAGGGCATACATTTTAAATCACCATTTCACTGTTATTTATTTATTTGACATACTACATTTTTCTTTTCTTTTCTTTGAAGCAGTTTACATCATTCTCTTCCTTCTGCTCACAATCTCATCCCCGCGGCAACAACCTGTGAGGTAGGATGGAGTAAAAGACTGTGACTGGCCCAAAGTCTAGCTGGCTTCATGGCTGAGTGGGGACCAGAACCCAGGTTGCCCGCGTCCCAGTCCCACCCTTTTAACCACTTACACCCCCCTGACACTACACAACTACTACAAGTATCCCAGAGGTGCAATTTTGTTTGAAAACAAGGCGTGTGCTTTTAAAAAGAAACATCCATCTTCATTGCTGCCTCCACCGGCACACCACTAAAATTTGGTAACAAATGTCAGGACCACAAAACAAGCCAGGAGATCACGTATAGTCTTGGGCCACGTACTGTCCATCCCTGCCTTAAATAGTTGTGTTGTAGATCAGCATATTGATAAGTCCATGTTTCTGTCCATTTACTGTGTTCTACACTACGATTTCATCCTGGGTACCTGCAGCCAATAGGCAAATAACCAACATAAAATTATGACATTGCAGAGAAGTATCTTTTAAAATATCAGTTGACCAGATATGATCCTGAGGTTCATATCAAGTGAAGCAAATGCCACATCCAGTCTTGAAGCACTTGGTCTTGGGTTTGTATGATCATATCTGGTAGTTTACTTTATTTCAGGAGTCATGTTGTACGCAGGAGACAAATACAGTGTTTGGCATCGTCCTGGCATGCAAAATTTGGTTTAGTGTTTCATCAGTCAAACGGAATAGCAGCAATCATCCAATTAGGCTCCGTGTGTTTCCTGCAGCAATTTTGGAAAGAAGCACAATTTGAGTTAAGCAGGCACAAATAACAATAATAAATGCATTTGTCCATATCCATCCCAACCAAAGTTCAGATTAAGCTGCGCAAGCTTCTTCCAGAGACATTGATCGTTAAGCAATTTTCTGTAGCATGGCCACCTGTAGCTGGATTTTAGCAAATGAGGCTGGATTTTAGCAAATTTGAGCTTGCTTAGCAAAGTTCTTAAGAGTGGGAGAAAGGTGGAGAGGCCTCGATCCACTGATCTCTACATGTTTCTGGGCCATGAGCCTCGTGCATTTCTCTGTCCATCCACTACCAGAAATTTAGAGGGCAGATACAAGGAGGCGAATCAGCTGGGAAACAAGGAAGGAAGTCCTCTGACCATACAGAAATTGACTGAAGGTCACATGCAAGCCAAAGGCTATTTATTTATCTGGAATATTTTTATCCCGTCTTACAGAATAATCCAATTGTCCTAGGACAGTTTACAATATAAATAAGCAATAAATACACAACAATAAAAGTACAATAACAAAATGTGACTGAGAATATAATAAAACCAGATTAAATTTATTTAAACCCTAAAATGTTGGGCGAATAAAAAGATTTTCACCTGGTGCCAAAAAGAACATAAAGTCGGCACCAGGAGGACCTCCCTGGGGAGCTCAGTCCACAGTTGGGGCACTTAGGCAAATAAGCAAATCGCAAGCAAATCGCAGAGGGATGCCACAGCCATGGAACTGCCAGTTTGCCATCTCTCAAGGAGCGAGCATTCTGCTCCTGGGCTACCAAGAGACTCAATGCTAGCAGCAGCCGCTCGGTCCTAGCCCCGTTGTGCTTTGATCATTGACAGCCATGCCCAGGGTTGTTCCAAGCTGCGCTGGAGTGGGAAGTAGAACAGTGCCTGCTTCTATACACACACACACATGCACAGATCCATGTGGACTAGTAATGTCAAACGCCATCAGGGGAGGTACAGAGCAATCTCTTTCTCCCTGGCTTTTAGGAGCACAGCCTGGGCTGCGTTCTGGATCTATCAAGACTCTAATTAACATCCACACTTTGCTAACCCTGAGCTGGAATCATCTTTCAGCACCAAGGGCAGCGCCAAAGAATATGATGGGCGATTACATTTGGCAGGTTTGCACAACACAAATTTAA